AGCCTGGCAGCCAGCAGCACTTTGTCCGTCCAGGCAGCACCTTCCTCCAGCTTCGCCGCCGCGCTCCGCAAGCTCGCCAAGCAGGCAGAGGAGCCCAGAGGTAGGGCATGATGGCAGGGACGGGGACCAGGGACACACAGGCTGAGCAGCAGGGCCTCTCCCTGCCTGCAGACCACGCCTTTTCCCCAGCCTCGTGTCTTTTCCCCAGCCTAGTGTCTTTTCCCCAGCCTCGTGTCTTTTCCCCAGCCTTGTGTCTTTTCCCCAGCCTTGTGTCTTTTCCCCAGCCCTGTGTCTTTTCCCCAGTGCTGTGTCTGGAGGGGGCACTTCAGGAATCCGGTTCAGAAGGAATAATCCAAACGCTGTGTCACTCATGAGAGCCCAGGAGAACGTGGCACAGGGCGACCTGTCCTTCTCACCCTGCCCTCCCAGCCCTGCTCCCTCCTGCCACCCTTCGCTGACACGCTTTATGTTTTCCAGAGGTTCCTCAAATCTCTTCCTTCCCCTGGCAAGTTGGCTGAGTAGCCAATTTGGGTGCCCCTGGGATGTCCCTGTCCCTCATCACCCTGTGATAGCCTGGGATCGTGTCCCGTGGGAATAGCCAGGGCTGTCCTGCATGCATAAGGGGAGGCAGCCCGTGTCCAGGGTGGGCTGGGAAGCATTTCACCAGGAGACTCCTGGCATCAGCAATTGACAACAAAGTCATTTTTATCCCTGGTGTTTTTCCTGGTGGGTCGTTGCCCACTGCCTGGGCACTTTGGTCCCGGGGTAGAATGCTTGTCCCGTTGCAAGGCCCTTCTTGGAAGATCCATTTTGAACAACCCTTTTGGCAAGGCCCTTTTTGGAAGACACTTTTTGCAAGGCCCTTTTATTCAAGGTTCTTTTTGGAAGACCGTTCTTTAGAAGACCTTTTTTGCAAGACCCTCTTCGGAAGATCCATTTTAGAAGACCCTTTTTGGAATACCCCTTTTTAGAAAACCCTTTTTGCAAGGCCCGTTTTGGACAATCCTTTTGGCAAGGCCCTTTTTGGAAGACCCTTTATACAAATGCCATCTGCAAGACCCTCCTCGTGGCCCCAAAATGCCCTGGCACAGCCGTGATCCCAAACCTCCGGCATCAGCTGCTCCCAAGGAAGCACATGGGGACATGTGACACCGAGGGGACCAGCTCTCAGTGTTGCTTCACCCTTGCTGTGAGCTCCAGGCTCTCTCCAGCCACCTGCTCCACAGCCTGTCAGCTGCTTTTTGGGACAGTCAGTTGGGTTTGATGGGATTGTTTTGCATTTTCTTCCCTCCCACACCCCACAGCTTATGCTTCCACTGAACTGCTCAGCCCATCCAAAGGGACATCAGTGGGTTTGGCTTGGATTTTGTGGCATTGGAGAGAAGCAGCCACATTTCCTTCGGATTTCCCCTTAATTACTGCATAGTTTGTTTGCAAAAAAAACCCTGTCCTCGCCCATCTGGGTGCCTGAAGTGGCTCAGGCTGGAGGTTTTTAACAAAGATGGGTTTGGATGGTGTTGGGAAGTGAGTTTCCCTGCACACTGCGGTTTCTCCACCTGGGAAATGAGCCACTTTGCCCCCAAATCCTCACCCTGCTTCCCTTCCCACAGCGGGCGATGCTCTGCCATGGCAGATGCAGCCAATGGGACAACGCTGACCAGGTCCACCCAGGGTTGGTGGATTTTGTTCCAGCTTCATGGACAGGTGATGGATTCGCTGCTGTGGGTACTGGGGGCTGCACGGCAGCCACTGTGTCCATAGGGTTTTCCTGCAGGGTGTCTGTAGGGTTTTCCCACGGGGTGTCCTTAGGGATATCCTGTGGGGTGTCCATAGAGATGGTGTCTGTAGGAGTGTCCCACAGGACCTCCATAGAGTTGTCCCATGGGGTGTCTGTAGGCCTGTCCCATGAGGTGTCCACAGGGTTGTCCCACAGGGTGTTGGTAGGGATGTCCTGTGGGTGTCTGTAGGGATGTCCTGCTCCTCTGCAGCATCCCTGGATGCAGGTGCTCATCCCAACCAGCTCCAATTCCAGCAAAGCCCCCATGAAGCCACCACATCTATGCCCTGCCCAGGGGTTCCTGCCTCCTGTCCCACCCTGGGCTGTCTGTGGGTGGACTGTATTCCCCCTCTCCCTTCTTCATTCCCCCTCTCCCTCTTCCTTCCCCCCCTCCTGCCTTCAGGGTCTCAGCTGTTAATTACATTTGCCTGTCAGCCTGGGCTGCTAATCTGCTATCGCCGAGCGGAAAGCGGGAGGTCAGAAAACAAAGGTGACACCATCACACTGTGCCTCTTGTCATCTCCAATCCAGATTAGTTTCATTGACTAACTCCTGGCTGAATACCACCAGTTAATTATAACGATCACAAACCCTCCCGTTTAAAGCCACACAGCGAGAATTAAGGTTCTGAAGTAAGACTTTAGCTTCATTAATTGCCGGGCTCATTGTGATGGTATTGATTGTTAACGCTATCGCGTGGTGAGTAATGGCTTCCCAGCTCAGAGGGGATTAGGCTGCTAATTGTTGTTGGCCTTGCACTGACAAGATAGACTTCAGTGGGTGTCAGATCCGTACCGGCGGCCTCCTTTGGGGCAGGGCAGCTTTTCTCCTTCCCCCAGCCTTGCCCCTCTTGGAATGAAAGCGATTGGGAGCGACTCGGGAATAATGAATCAGGCAGGCCGGGCAGTGGAGGGCTGCTCTGCACGGCTCAGCGTCCTTCCCGGGATCTGGGGATGCTCCTGCTTCCCTGCTGCCTTCCTGGCTGCCTCCTGGGAGCGAGGAGTTGGGAGTGAGCCCCCAGCTGGGAGCTACCCTGGAGCTGGGAGTGAGCGTGGCGAGGAGTGTGGGGTGGAGGTGGGTTTGCTGGGTGAGGAGCTGGCTCGCAGGCTTGCAGAGTTGAGGGGTCAGCTTGCACACTGGAAGGACGTGCACACTCATGGGAGCTGGCTTGCACGCTCAGGGGAGCCACACAGCACACTGCCAGGGTAAGGGGCTTGCTGCTGCACCCAGGGGAGCTGGCTTGTGTGCTTGGAGGAGACAAGACCTCCATGCCAGGCTCAGTGCCAGGCTGTGGAGCATCATCACCTCTTGAATGTCATCTTGCAGTGGCCACGGGCCCCCCTTTGGTGGCCAGTCGCCGGTCCCTGCTGGCATGACAGAAACCTCCCTCAGGCCAGACTTGGGGCTGGTGGGAGCAGGGTTTGGGGGGTGGAAGCCCCCCAGGCTGCCCACTGGGGTTTTAGGATTGATGGATGTGCCACGAAGCAGACGTTGGGTGCTGTGTGCCCTGGTTAACATTGAATTTGTATTTCTGCTCCAGTTCTTGCTTTCCTACCCACATCACGCTCTCTGCTGTAATTCCCTTGGAAATACCACCAGCTTCCCTGGGGTGGGTATCATTTCAAACACAGATGTATTATGCAAATAAAGCCAAAGCCTTGCCCAAGGGTTAAGGGCAGTGCCTCCTTCATTCCAACATCTCCAACTGCCCCACATCGTGCCTAGTGACTTCTGCAGCTGGATTAGGGAATCTTGGGTTTGGCCGGAGAAGGTATGGCCACCTGGGGCTGGCATTGAATCCGTGTCACTTGTGCCAAGGCGAGGGGCACAGGCAGGGCTTGCTGTGCCTAGGAAGGGCTTTACGGCAGGTGAGGGGGTCACAGTCCCTGCTCGATGGGAGCAAAGCCTTTTAGCACTGAGAGACCCTTCCTTGGGACAGGGCTCCCCAGACTGGGAGGACAGGGGTCCTGCCAACCACCCTGCCTGCACCCCCATGCCCCACCCCGTATCCCTGCCAACGGGACATCTCACGGGGACGGCTTCAGGTAGTTCAGAGGCTGGTTTCACCTGGTTAACCTTTCTTCCCTCCCCTCACAGGGTCATCCATAAGCAGCGAGTCGTCCCCGGTCTCCTCGCCGGCCACCAACCACAGCTCCCCTGCCAGCACCCCCAAGCGTGGCCCCATGGGCCCCATCATCGTGCCCCCGGGGGGGCACAGCGTGCCCAGCACGCCGCCCGTCGTCACCATCGCCCCCACCAAGACGGTCAACGGGGTCTGGAGGAGCGAGGGCAGACAGGTAAGGTAGTGTCCTGGGGGGGGTGCCTGACCACCCCCCTCCCCCAGAAGGATGGAGGGTGAGGGATGCCAGGCACGGCACTGATTGTGCCAGCCGTGGTCCGAGGGGCCAGGAGCTGCCATGTCGCTCCCAAGGGACCGCAGGGCCAGTCCCCATTTTGTCCCTTCTCCTCCCTACCGTGTCCCCTGGCTGCCATCCAGGGTGGGAGCTCAAGGAAGAGGAGAAAGGAGGGGGTGGGAGGGGGCGTGTAGTGGCTAATTAAGAAGCATCGTTAGTGGCTCTCCTCTTCTCCGCACACTACAAGCAGATTCCCGGGGGGATTATGCCACTTGGAAAGACTAATTAAACCACAGCGCGGGGAGGTGATGGGAGGGGATGAGAAACGCCAGGGGCGGGTGGGGGAGCAGAACATGGAACCGTGATGCCCAGGGGGGGGTGCGTGGGGTGTCGGGGGTGCTCCCCACCACCGTGTGCGTGTGTCCCCACCCGTGTCACCGCTTCCCCTGCAGCGCGGGGGTTAACTGAGCGTGGGTGATTGTCTGGCAGAGCCAGCGTGACGCCCCGAGACGGGGAGGTAATTAGAGCAGAGCCTGGCACACGAACCATCAGCGTTAACGCAGGTGGTGGGGATGAGGGGGGGGGGAACACCCTTTGTGCTGGCCGTGGTGACCTTGGGACTGTCCCCACCCTGCCCTGGAGGGTCTGGGGAGCAGGACTGGGTGGGGAGGAGATGCACAGCTCTGGGGGGTTGGCGGGGGTTGCCGCTGTCCTGCTCCTAGAGCTGCTAAATGAACGTGCAAAGACAAAGGGTAATTTTTCAACCTAACCTTGCCTTGCTGGAGGCCACCCCACTAATTGCTGGACCCTGTATGGTCCTTTGTCACCCCAAAGAGGTCCCCTCTTGACAGGGGATCCTTCCCCAGCCAGTGTGGGTGCCAGGAGGGAGTAACCACCATCCTGGGGATGGAAATGGGGAGCTGATGAAAGATGGGTGAAGGCCCACGGTGAGGTGGGGGTGCTGATGCCTGTCTGCATGGCTGGGGGGTGCCGGGGTGACCCCTGGTTAATGGCCACTATCAAAGTGCTCCAGATTCCCACCAGCCGTGTGTGTATCCTCCCCAGATGATTAATAGCTCTGGAGAACAAAGCAGCCTGTAAATCTCCAGGCAGGTATCATGTGTCCTGCCATCAGCACTGCTCTGGCTTCAGCACCCCCTCTCCTGCTGATGCCCCTGTGGGGTAGCCCCCCCCAAACCCTCAAGCCCCTCCAGCCCACCTATCCACAGCCTGAATGTGGGAGGATGCTCTGGTGGCTGCATCACCTCGGGTACCGTTGACCACCAGGGACCCCATAGCCATACTGGGGGACCTGCTGAGGGTCTTGGGGTGGGAAGAAAGCAGGGACCCCCCCATCACTCGGAGGTCCCTGCTGTCTGGCTCAGTGTTTTTGCCTCTTTTCCTTCCAGCAAGAAGCGGGGTCACGGGGCAGCAGCAGCAGCAGCAGCCGTGATCGCCTCATCTCGGATCCCCCCCTTGCACAGGAGAAAGCAGGGGGGCCCACCGTGCCCTCCCACCTCTTGGGGACACCCTACTCCTTTGGGCTGCCCCCCAGCTCCGTTGTCCAGGACTCCCGCTTCCCACCCCTCAAGTGAGTCTGACAGCAATGCATGGGGAAGGGGTTGCAGGAGGTGGGTGTCCAGGTGAGGTTTGGTCCCACTGAGCATCCTAGAGGGAGGTGACATCTTCTTAGAGGGACAAGGTGGGAGGGTGACCATCTCTGCGTGGTGTGGCTGACATGCTGGAGGGAAGGGATGGCATGCAGGAGGGACCCTGACAGACTGGAGAGGTGGACACATGCAGACTTCATGGGGTTCAACAAGGGCAAGTGCAGTGTCCTGCACAGGAGTCAGAGCAGGGGGTGTTGGGTGATGAGAAGCTCAACATGAGCCAGCACTGTGTGCTGGAGCCAAGAAGCCACCCATGTCCTGGCCAAGGCCAAGGTGGGATGGAGCTTGTAGCAATCTCGTCTAGTGGGAGGTGTCCCTTCCCATGGCGAGGTGTTGGAACTAGATGAACTTTAAGGTCCCTTCCAACCCAAACCATCTGATGATTCTCTCATCTCCTTGCTCCTCCAGCCTGCAGCGGCCGGTCCACCACGTGGTGCCTCCCAGCGCCGTCACCGAGGATTACCTGCGCAGCTTCCGTCCCTACCACACGGCCGAGGACCTCCGCATGTCCTCCCTGCCACCCCTCGGCCTGGACCCGGCCACTGCTGCTGCTTACTACCACCCCAGCTACCTGACGCATCACCCCTTCCCACACCCTGCCTTCAGGTGGGCATTGCCCAGCCAGGGCCTGGGAGTTCTGGGGGGATGCTGGTGGCTGGACGAAAAGCTGGGAGGGCTGGGAGCTTAATCCAGGGAGGATGGTTGGGCTGCGTTTTGGGGTTCTCCAGACCCCCATCCGTGCAGCCTCCATCCATCTTGGGATCGCTTTGGGGGGGAGAGGGGGGAGGGGGGTGTAATGGGGAGCTTTTCCCCGCCCTGAGCAGCACATCCCACGCTGAGCCATCCCCCTTTTCCCAGGATGGACGACTCGTACTGCCTGTCGGCGCTGCGGTCCCCCTTCTACCCGCTGCCGGCGCCGGGCTCGCTGCCCCCCCTGCACCCCTCGGCCATGCACCTGCACCTCTCGGGGGG